GAAGATCAGCCCTGAGCTAATATCCATGCTAATCCTCCTCTTTTTGCTGAGGAAGAGTGGCTCTGAGCTAACATCTATTGCCGATCCTCCTCCTTTTTTTTTCCCAAAGCCCCAGTAGATAGTTGTATGTCATAGCTGCACATCCTTCTAGTTGCTGTACGTGGGACGCAGCCTCAGCATGGCCGGAGAAGTGGTGCATCAGTGCGCGCCTGGGATCCGAACCCGGGCCGCCAGCAGCGGAGCATGTGCACTTAACCTCTAAGCCACAGGGCCGGCCCTCTAAAGTTTTTAATCACTCTTCTAGTTCCTTATAAAGCAACCACATAAAGACTGGAAGAAAAGATTTCTGAATCACTGGGCTCAGTGATTCAAATCCAGTTTGTCTTCCAGAAGCAGCTCACTACAGAATTGAGAACAAGATTTTGGATGTTTAAAATTTTGTAGTTTTGAAAATTTTTTTGTGTGTGTGAGGAAAATTAGCCCTGAGCTAACACTTGTTACCAACCTCCTCTTTTTTGCTGAGGAAGACTGGCCCTGGGCTAACATCCGTGCCCATCTTCCTCTACCTTATATGGGAACGCCTGCCACAGAGCAGCTTGATAAGTGGTGTGTAGGTCCATGCCCGGGATCCGAACCTGCGAACCCCAGGCTGCCAGAAGTGGAGCACATGAACTTAACCACTATCCCACCAGGCCGGCCCCGGTTTTGAAATTTTAAATGTGACTTAAATTCATTCTTGGGAATGAATGTGTTGATCATTATTGGATTATTGTTCAAAGGCACTAGAGTAATTAACGAACATAATATTTTCCATGTACAGAAGCCAGCTCTCACAGTCAGCAAACGCATGATCACTGTCTAGAAGGAGAAAACAGATTTTTAAAACATAGATTGCATTAAATAAAATACTTAATGAAGGCTTGTTTTTATTATATCTGGATAAATTACTTAGAATTCAGGGCTTCTTACCGTGAGAATGAAAAACAAATTAAATTCCAATGTCATTCTACTTAATGGAAATTATAGGCCCACATATTAATTTATATACCTGTTTGTAAACAGGAACAAGCAAAGAGTTATTGGCCACACATCAAGGCCTTGAAAATAGGCCCTGTGCTCTTGCCATGATCAGATAAGGAAGAAATATGCTTTGCTTGAAAGAAACAGAGCTGGAATCATAAGACTAAATAAAACACTCAAAAGTAAAGTAAGGCATTTTATATCTTTGTCTCCTGTCACCCAAAATAATCTTCTTTTCCAAATCCAGAGCACAGATCCTTAATGATTACATTTTAAAAGAAAAGTCTTCACCTTTTCTGTTTCCCAGGCAAAGGATTATTTCTCTGCAGTTAACTTAGTAGAGTTAACATTCATCTTTGTTGTTTGGTCTTAATTTCTTGATGAGAACACAGCCTACTTACTACTTAATTACCTCTATTTTTTCTGGAGCTGTTAGCAGGACAGAAGCAACCAAGGATCCCGCAGAGGCCCCGGCAAAGGCCTTGACATCCTTCAGGAGCTGTTTGCCATGTCTGCAAAGAGCAGATGCTGCCCCCAAGTGGTAAATGCCCAGAAACCCACACGCTGCAAATGACAGGTTGATGTGCTTCATTCTAGCTGAGAAACTGGCAGTACGAAAAACCAAAAATGCTGTAAGTTGGTACAATTCACCCACATGCTGTGGAGTCTTATGCTAATCATCATTCCACGCCTGTCTTTTAATCTAGAATTCTCTGCTCTAAGCACAGTATTTTCAATTAAAGTCTAATTAAACACCCCAATCTTTCAAGGAAACTTTTTCCCCCCTCTCTTGCCTTGACCCAATAGTTTTATTAATTAAAAAAAAAAAAGCTACATTCCATAGATACATAGATTATGCAGTCTACTGTTTAATTACTTGGCAAAAAGAAAAGATGGATAAATTCCAATTGGCAAAGCATTTGGTCTTTTTTCTCGTCCTTTTGAAACTTTTGGGGGGTAGGCTACCATTGTGGAAGGGTGAAATCATTACAGACTAGTGAATTCCACATGAAGGACACACTTGTTCCTTGAAAGTGCATCAGTACATGTCAAATAGAAGTGCTCCCCTCCACCCCACATTTCCATTGCGAGCATCTGTATTTTTTTAAAAGAAAACTCATGCCCAAAATTATTCAATAATGCTATGAGCAATTATTCAACAATGCAATATATCTCATAGCCAAGTTTCTCAAGACCAACTGAGGTCATGACTGGCAAGGGCAATTGAAGGCTTAAGGAAACTTGCTATTTGAAACAAATCTGACTATAAAGCTCTGTTTGCTGAAGCCTCAGTGGGCAGGATTTCACCACGTGGATGGATTCGTGCCCCCACAACGCTGCTCACTTGGAGAGCCTCAGGGTTTCTCCGAGGCCCCGGGACCCCGATTCCAGGACCTTCAGATTAGACATAGGCCCGGGCCTCGAATTTAGGAACCTAACACCGTTATTTGATGCACGAGGCCGGGCACTGTATGGGAGCCAGCTCAGCCACTGCAGCACAGCCCCGGTTTGGGTTTAATTTCTGCAGATCTGAGGCAGGGGCGAGGTCGGACGCTCAGCCTCCAGGTAGCCACCCTGCCCGCGCAGGCCCAGTATCCGCCCCCGGCCTGGGGGAGGCGGGGCGGGGGTCACCATCGCGCCAGCCCCGGGGAGTCCTGCCCTGACCCTCCCGCCCCCAGGGCGGCCTCGAGGGGCTGAAGCCCGCCCCCCGACCGCCCCTCGCCCGCCCCTCGCCAGCCCTGCGCTCCGCCCTACCAATACAGGCCTGCGGCACTTCCGTGTTGAACGGCCTCCTTAAGAGGAAGGCGGGCCCCAGCCGTCACTCAACGTGGCCCCACCTATCAGGGCCAGACCACGCCGTGCCCCCGCCCAGGAAGGTCCCCCGGAAGGGGTTGGGCCGGCCTACCCGCGCAGGTGTGTGACGTCAGCAAGACGACGCGGGCCTCCGCTGGGCCCCGCCTGCTCTATTTAAACCGCTGGACTCAAGATGGCGGCGCGCACTCGGCCGCTTGACCCGCGTGTCCCGAACGCGGGTAAGGGACAAGACTTTCTTCTTTCGAGTCTTGCTGTCTTCCGATACCTAGGGATGCGTTTTCGTCCCTTTGAGCCTTTTAGCACTACCTGCGGGCCGGCCCTCACTTGCTATTCCGCTGACCCTGAACGACTTTCATTTGCTGCACGCCGGAAGTGCTTGCCCCTCTTCAAGTCTGTTTTCCGGAAGTGGTTCCTCTTCTTTCCCCACCCTCAGGGCGGGTCCAGGGGCTAGGTTCGGGCCCGATGCTCCGCGGCTTATCAAGGCCCACCTCTGATCTTTTCGTTAAGCATTATTGGAAAGGCGGGGCTATAGCTTTGGGTCGCGTTCACCTCCTCACTCGGCCTTAGGCTGTGTGATCTTGGGCAGGTTGCATAACCTTTCTGAGCTTCCCTGGTGACTTACCTGCAAAATGGGATGGTAAAATCCGACTTGGTGCTGAATCGTAAAGCGCGTGTTGCATAGCGGGCCCTGAACAGACAGCCGCTGTTTCGTCTGGTCACCGCTGGCCCTGGACAGACCTGAGAAGCAGCTTTAAATGGAGTTCCCCACCCACTTCAAAGGACTCTGATGAGTCTTTCTCTCCTAAACAGTGTCTTCCCTAATAGTAATAACAGGTGTTGGAGGAACCTCAGAGTTCCTGGTGGAAGGTTCTTTGGGTTCCCATGTTGAAGGACAGATTTACTGTCTCTGAATCTACAGAAGGGGATCTGAAAAGTGCACGAGTGTCTCTGCCTTAAGCAAAGCAGGGAGAAAGGGGGAGCTTCTCAAATGGCTTTCACCTTGGGCTTTTCCTTTCCCTCCCATTTGGGCTGTCAGTCACCTGGGCTCTGGCCCACAACACTGAAAGTGGGAGTTCTGGATGTGATGACTAAGGAAGACATATTTTTCGTTCTCATAACCAGCCTTCTGAGACAGCTGATCCTGAAGATACCCTGATGCCTGAGCACAGCCCAACTCCATTACTCTATGAATTCTTTTCTACCATTAGGATTTAGTGAAGGGGAGGCGAAGTGCACGTCAAGCAAATGGAGAAGGATGAGCTCTTCATTCTTTCATCCTTCCGCTGTCCTCTGACTCCGTGGTAGGTGTGGTCTCCCCATGGCAGCATCCCCCAGGAAACTTATAAAGAAAGAACAATCCCAGGCCTCATATCAGGTCTCCTGAGGCAGAATCTACATTTTATCAGACTCCCCAGGGATCGCTATGTGTACTAAAGTTTGTGAAGCTCTAGTCTAACTCGCCATGGGGTGGTCTGGTTTAAAGTCGTGGGGTGACATCGAAAGTTTAAGGAGAGACAAGGTCCATGAGGCCAGAATCTGGGATGGTGGTGGCAGAGCAACTGTTTCCTGCATTTGGACACTGCAAGCAGGTTGATTCAGAAGACGGATGAAAAATTTGTCACTGGGTAGCCTGGATGAGGACCAAGACCGTGGGATCCTTTGCTTAAAGGAAAGGTAAGATCACCCGTTGTTGACATACCTGCTGGTGAGTGAGATGTCACCAAATTTAGTCTCATGGGCAAGTGTTGAAAAAGCACCATAATTTAATTCTTAACATTTTAAGCTCTCTCCTCCTTTCTCCCTTCTACCCCATATCATATTTATGTGCAACTAATTAAAAAGTTCGGCTCCCTAAGGTGAGGAAGAATATCAGATTCATTCACATTTGTCTTTGTCATCTCAGCACTCACTTGGTGCATAGTATATGATCAATGAATATTTGTTTTGGGTGTTGGATTTAAGTAAATTATTCTTGTCATGTGAGTATGTAGTTATTTAATTGCCCTTTAAGAGCATTTTTCAGTAATTCCTTTGCGTGTTTTTGCTTCTCTGTTTTCGTTAGTAATTTAGTTTTGAACTGATTTATTTATTTAGGAATTTATCAAACATTTAAGCATCCATTGTATAGCAAACGCTGAGCTGGTACAGGGCATACAAAGTTGACAAGGATTCAGTCCCTGGTCATGGGGCTTGTGGAAGCTAGTGGGCAGGGAGACACCTGATGTGTAATTACAGAGGAGTGTTCATGTGCTAGTACAAAGCCCCCCGCAGGTGCTCTGGGTGTACACCCTGAGCTAGAGGCTGGGAAACTCTTGGCTCTGGGAGGCACCTACAAGAGCACCTGGCACAAAAGGAGAATCTCCAAGCCTGGCTGCCCCTTTCCCTGTCCCCAGCTTCCTCCCACAAGGTTTTATAGTGCATCCTATGAAGACCAACGGTGCAGAAGGGATGCTTGCCACACCTGTGCCCAGAGGACAGGGGCTCCTCTCAGAATCTCTGTGTCTAATCTCGCTTGCAGTCTCCTCTCTACTTAGTGTTGTTTTGTTGTCCAATCTTGGCATCTTAACACATGTTAATTCCTCTGTGGGGTATGCCGTCATTGCCCCTGCCATACCCTCATCCTCCCTCCCGTGTGCTGACTCCTCATCCTCGTCACCTCCTCCCAGAGTCTTGCCTGCTGATTCTGAACTGTGAATATTAGACGCACACACTTTAATTTCAGGGGAATGTGGCCCACTGTTGGAGCACACCGCAGCGCCCTTTCCCCAGGGGCATCGAGGTAATAACTCCTTTTGGCCTGCCCTCTGTGCCTCGTTGAAGCATCCCCTTGTTTTGAGGCCACCATAGAATTCTGAGAATTCTTTTGCCATCATGGAGCAGAACATCCCATCTGAACCCACAGAGAAAGAGGCGGCATCCTTTGCCATGGATCACTGTCTCTAAGGACAAAGCACAAGCAGTCAACAATGAATGCCACCACATGGAGGGTGAGGGAGCCAGCCTGAATATAAAGCAGTTTAGAGGGCGTCAGGGCTGAGAGAGAGCGAACCAGGCCTAGGTGCGATGGCATTTCTGGAGCCTGCTCGTGCAGCTGTGACCATCCCTGGCTCACTCCCCCACTGCATTCACCCTTTTCTACTTGTTGTGCTTAAACTAGTTAGAGCTGAGTTTCTAAATCTTGCAAGCAAAACAGTTCTCACTAAGAAAGTGCTTTTTCTATTGCACCTGATTTCTCTCTACGGTCATGCATTAACGACGGGGACACGTTCTGAGAAATGCATTAGGCGATTTCATTGTGCGAACATCATAGAGTGAACTTACACAAACCTAGATGGTATAGCCTGCTACACACCTAGGCTCTGTGGTACTAATCTTATGGGACCACCGTGGTCCCTCGTTGACCGAAACACTGTATGTGGCGTGTGACTGTATTGGAAATCTGCTAAAAGAACCAACTACTTAAAGGAACACTTGGCAAATCCTTTCTAAATGGAAGAATATTTCTTTAAAAAAATACATGTGTTATATATGTAATATATATACATTACAAAAGACTTTGATAACATCTGAAAACAATTCAAAATAGACATCCTTAAGAAGTGTATTTATTTTTGATTGGATACATCTGAGAATACATAGTAATCTATAGGTCTTAACATGGCATAGAAACTAAATATCAAGTTATTTCTATTAAAGAGAAACCATTTTAAAATGTAACATTTATTTATAAGCTTCATTTTAATTTAACGTGTGAAAGGTACCAAATATAATGTTATGCATGGAGCTGAAACATAGAGACGGTAAAGATTTTCTGAGTCTTTCTATTATTGTATTAGAATTACTGAATTACAGTGCTTGCAATTGATATTCTATGTAAGTGTAAGCTTTCAAAATTTTCATATTAAAAAATATCTTTTATAGAAAAGGGGTTCATATCTTTGGTAGCCAGGTGGTGGTGTTGTGGGGTGGTGATGGGAGAGGGGCACCAAATGCATAATGGAGTCCTAAATATTTTAGAAAGCCCAATAAAAGAAAATCTGTGTTCTCCACCCTGTATACTTTGTTGCAAAACAACTGTGCCCTTGGCCTGGCCATTCATGGTCCACAATGTGTATAAATGGATGGAAATAGTCCTTCTTGTTATCTTTCAAATAATTTTCTTACAGTGGAGGGGATTATTGGGGAAATAATGCCAGTGTCAAATAAATGATATTGTTCAATGATAAACAGAATGTCACCTTCGGTGCCTTATCCTTCATCAAATTCACCAAAATACTCACTTTTAATTTACAATACAGGATTTAATCAATACTCATACTGTTATCTAAAGAAACACCCTATTTGCTAAAACATCCAATTATCTAATCACCTCATTGCAAAGAGACAAAATAAGGATTTCAGTCTATTTTGGTTTTGCATCGCTCCTATTTACTGGAATCTTATTATTAATAATTATGACACTTATTCACTGTCCGTTGCATGCCAGTCCTTTATACACGTTGTCTTGTGAAGCTTTTATAACAATGATGAGTGGTAGGGAGATGCATTAGATGAGAATTTAAAGTTATAATAATTTGCCCACATCCACATGGAGGCGGAGATTATCAGCCCAGGTCTCCCTAGTTCCAACCTGCACACAGACTTTCCTTCCCTACGCTAGTTCAAAAATGAATTAATGAAATGGTAAGCTCTTATTATCTGCCAAGCGTTATGCCATTCACCTGCTATGAATCTCAGAACCTTGTTATTCCTTCTGTTCTTTCCTTGGTCAGAGTTTGGAATTGGTGTTCCTATTTAGATATTTATAATTTACTAAAAAAATGGTAAAACTTCTTAATAAATGTGACGTATGAATTTACTTATTTATAGTATTTAGGGAACTTGTTCACATCTGGAAAAGAAAAAGAAGTCAGTCTAGCAATTAATTAAAGCTGCCCTTTCTCCGTTCATCAATTACAGCAGTAACTCTTTTTGATTACTCCTTTTCCTGGAAGCTATGTCATAAAGTAAGTTCTTGTAAAGAGAATGTAATTTCCATTAGGAGCAATGTTATAAAAGGAGATCACGTCATTGACCAAGGTCTTAACTCCAAGTAAATCATCTGTCTAATGATTTGTCTTCATGCATTTGCTCACTCTTTAAATAAACTTTATTTAGCATCTAATATATGAAAAGGACTGGACTAGGCATCAGAAAATTTAAAAAAATCTTAAACTGTCCATTTTTAGTTCACTATTTTTTCTTGCTGGAATGTGGCTTCACATTTTTCTCTTCTGTTAATCCCTACTTATTCTTCAAGGCCTAAAGCAACCTCTACTGCCTCAATATAGCCTTTGAGATTGCATTCATCCACCTTCTGTCAATGTTAAGTGCATCCTCCTCTTGGTTACCATGCGTGAGGCATTGCCATA